ATATATATATATATATATATATATATGTATGCATGTATGTATGCATGTATGAATGCATGTATGTATGCATGCATGTATGTATTTATGTATGCGTATGGGTATATAACTATAAATTTCTACTTTTTTACAGCTCAGTCACATCCAAGTGAAATATCTGATAGCCAATCATGTATAAAGTCAAGACAAATTTTTGGTTTCCTAGGATTTCTTGGATTTGCTTTAGTTTATGCAATGAGAGTAAATTTATCTGTGGCAATTGTATCTATGGTGAATCAATCAGCAATTCCTCATTCGGATAATGAAAGTGGTGTCGATGCATGCCCAAAAATAAATCCAGTGAATACAACATTTGTTCCAGTATGTTTAAATTATGATGTCACACATATAATATTTCTAATTAACTAAGCTAGATTAATAAAGTGATCTTTTATTTAATAGAATGACAGCATAATAAAATATATTTTATGAATTTACAAAAATATTACAGAAAATTATCATCCAAGCTATTTAATAAATATTCTTTTTTATTAACATAACTTTTATTAATTAAGTTGACGTTACTTAAAAGTAATGTATACAAATATTAGACGTTGAGATTAAGTTTTAACATTATTCACTTAATGATTTTAATAAAATTTTATTGATAAGTGTTGAAAATTTTAATTTACACGCTATTTTATTTCGCATATCGTTAATCCAATTTTTACCTATGTTTTAGAGTGCAGGTGAATTTGCTTGGGATGAAAAGACACAGGGTATTATACTTGGTGCATTTTTCTTAGGATATGTCATAACTAATGTACCAGGAGGTAGAGTAGCAGAAAAAATAGGTGGAAAATTAGTTTATGGATTAGGAGTATTTTTAACTTCTCTTCTCACTGTCATAAGCCCCTTTGCAGCTTATTGGGGTTTGTACCCATTTTTAGTTATTCGCGTTGCTGAAGGATTCACAGAGGTAAATAAAATATTTTGTTTCATTGAATAAATACTAAATAAAAGCAAAGTAAACGTATTAATAGATTGTTAAAATTTAACGAATAGTATTTAGAGAAAGTTACGATTTTTTATATTTAAACGTAATACGAATAATTTGTAATAGTTAAATCTTGCAAATTAATATATGTTATATAGAATAAAATAACATTTGCTTATTTTAATTAAACTATTTTATTCATACAAAAACTAATTTATTTTAATTTTTAGGGAGTTACTTTTCCAGCGATGCATAGTATGTTGGCACATTGGGTACCACCATTAGAAAGAAGTAAATTTGCTGCTTTAGTTTATGCAGGTAATATTAAAAAAAAAAACAATTTTAATTATTTTAAAATATATTTAATTGCAATTTTAATTATTTGCAGGATCAAATTTTGGTACTGTTATTTCTTTACCATTAAGTGGCTGGTTATGTTCTTTAGAGTTATGGGGTGGTTGGCCACTCTCATTTTATTTATTTGGTAGTCTTGGACTAGTATGGTATATATTTTGGTTAATATATGTGTTTGATACACCTGCAGAACATCCACGAATTGATCCTCAAGAAAAGCTATACATAGAATCATTAGTGGAAACAAAGAACGATGTGAGTATAATTTATTTTAATACACTGCTATGTTTTTTTACAATTAAAAATATCAATTTCTCTTATATTGGTATTATAGAAAATTAATTTTTTAACAATTGTTAATTTTATTTCTAAAAAATATTTATTAAATAAAAATATAAATCCTTATTAAATGTAGGATTACAATAATTCTGTGCCTTGGCTATCAATATTTAAATCTCTTCCAATGTGGGCAATAGCTATTACTCAATGTGGTCAGTCATGGGCTTTTTACACCCTTCTGACAGAATTGCCTACTTACATGGACAGAATTCTACACTTTGATGTACAACAAGATGCATTCCTATCAGCATTACCATATTTAACAGCCTGGGTAATCGGTTTGATAATATCAAGTTTTGCTGATGCTTTACTAGCTAGAAACATTATTACTCCACTAACTTCGTTTAAATTATGGAATACAATAGCTTCTCTAGGACCTAGTCTAAGTTTCTTAGGCGCTATTTGGGCTGGATGTGATCGACTTACTGTGATGCTAATGTTATCTGGTTTAAGTTCACTTTATGGTGCTGTGTATGCTGGTAATCAAATGAATCATATTGTTCTCGCACCACGATTTGCTGGAACTTTGTATGGAATAACAAATGCCGCTGCTAATACCTGTGGATTTTTAGCGCCTTATATTATTGGACAAATCGTTAATGGACATGTTAGTATGAATAAATGTATTTAAATTAGATGATACATAAATTGCTATTGAATATTTAAATATTTGAATGCATAGTACAACCATACAAGGTTACAAGATGTTTAAAAAAGTTTTTGTACAAAATTATTTGAACTTATAAAATTCTTTGTTTTTTTATTACTTTAAAATTGTTTATTTATATATATATATATATATATATATATATA